GAAATAGGGTGAATACATCTCATTACAATGATTTACTGGTAGTCTCGAAACCCTACTTTCATACGAATATTAGTCCTTAAATCATCGAAAGCTGAATACATTTTTAGCCAAGCATTACTCTGTCAGTTTCGAGTGAGACTCATTGAATCTTAGTTGGTAGCTCATAATGACAGTATACATTAGATTATGCACAAGCCTGGTTAGTCTGATTTTCACATCTGTACCATAACCAACCAACATCAGTGCCTTTGTAGCGCAGTTTTAATGCATACCTGTGTGGCGCATTGGTAAGGGGGGAGGAGCATGTAAGGCTGAAACTGCCGTTCAGTCTTGATCAGAAAACCTTTTTCGAAGACAAAACTAAATAAAATGAGGCATACTCGCATCATCGTGAGAAAAGCTTCACTATCCGTCTTTGAAGCACCTGAGAATGCACCCAATCACCTGTCCGATACCACAAGAAGACATGACAACACTGGCAGAGGACACAACATGAAATAAGGGGTTCTGAAAGCACGACTAAGTTGCGAAGACAGGTAAAATCATCTCTATACAGCAAAGTGATTCCGAAACCAAACCTAGACCACATCATCTTTGACCTAATAATATCTACGACCTTAAGTCTTCTTGACTGTGGGTTGACCTCATTGTCGCCACTTGGTCTTGTTGTCAGGGCGAATTAGTAGAACGCACCTTGTCCGAAGTCCTCTGCCATAGTAACTATGATAATTCCCAGCATCAGACCGTGAACTTGGTACATTCATCAGCGAGTGTTGCCATTTTCCGCACCAAGCTACGAACTCGTAAAAGAGACAGGCAATTTGGCCCATCCATACCTCGTCAAGAGCATATTGTCACTTGGGACCCATCATTATGCAATTTCAGAGTTTCTAGGCGGGGAAAAATCCAAATCTGCGACTGGAGAGCGTAGTCGCTTGGACGTGGGCAATACGTTGGCCTGCCTTGGAGCCTTAATCGAGGGTTGAAAATGGCTCCGGGTCATCAGGTTACCACAAGTTTCACCTCACGGTACATCTTGTTAGAATGGCTTTCAAGTCCCTTTTAGGTTAGCTTCGCTACCAGCCTCATTCTGGTTGACAATTTTCACCTCGCGTTAGACTAGATTGCGTGTTCAAACATCACATTTGTAACTTAATGCTCACTTTTGTCCACGCTCGAGGCTACCACTTATAAACAATATGAGTAGTCTGTTTATCTTAATTTGGTCCCGTATCTTGGTAAGGATATAACTATGCATATTTGCATTCTTGCCGCCTCTTTTGACGACTTCAATCGAGAGTAGCAGAAAAATATCACTTTTTGAAGATGACCCAAAGTCGGGTCAGTCTACAACTGGACGTGTACTCGAGCCAAGGGCAATGGTCTAAGAATTAGTCGGTCGGGTCAGACGGCCTAGGACATGAAAGAGGACAGGTAGCACAAGGGTGGTCGAATTCTCTGTCCGAGTTTAGGTTCAAGTTCGAATTCCTGATCGGCGGCATGATATTACTGGTTAAATTATCGTAGAAACGGCTGTCGCTAAGATGAAAAAGACCCATCATGGCAGGAGTATGTCTAGAAATGCTGTCATAGAAAGAGCTTTTCTGGTGGCATAAACTACACGGTTCTATCGGAGGAGCTTTTATCTATGGCAGATAGTCTTCTCCTCTCTCCTCTTCCAGACATGTATGCGTTCTATATTCAGATAACAATGTCTATTTCACGTTTTTATGACCAAAATGGCTTAGTAGAATAGTGATATTGGCCTGTGAGGCAGAGTCAACGTGAACATGGATGGATTTGTTTATTATTTTTTATACTGGCCTACTACTTGCCGTCAATTGATGGCTCATACAAATGAATCCGTTTTTCCTTCGATGTAAGCATGATGTATATGCACGCCTCCTTGTACACACACACACACACACACATGCATAAGCACAAGCACACATACCCACGAGTATGTATAAATTCTTTTTTGATGAACAGACAGTCCCTATTTTATGGAGGTCGGTCGAAACACTCTCTGAATCGGCAAACGTTATGGCATGTGGTTGTCCACCATCGAGTTGGCCGACACACAATCTCGTTTGTTCTGACATAATCCGTGTCTCTAGCCCATAACTTGTGCATAAATCTGTCGTTAACTGGCCAGATTCAGTTGGAGAGGCATCGATGCCCATCGATCGAGGTGAACGTTGTAGAGTGTTGTTGTTCAGGCCGTTTCCGCCTGTTGCTGGGCCACTGCACGCAACTATAGGCACAAGTTCAGACCGAGTGATTGGCAAGTCAGGGTCTCTCATCCTCCCTCCGACCAGACTTCGTGCCTTGGTGCGGTAAAGTCATGCTGTCTTTTTGGCCAATTTTATGGCATTGCGATCCCTCGGCCAGCCTGAGTTTGAGCCCTGCTCCGCCTTGAGGGTAACAGGGGCAAGCCGACAACCCGACGGGCCCGAGTCCGAGTCTCGGACGAAGGACTTGTTTCGCTGTTGTCCACCCGCCCTTCCCCCCCTCCCCACCCATTGTCGACACAAAGCGACACGAAGCAGGCCTTCGCGCATGTCTCCGGGCTCGGATGGCAGCACCAATCAGCATGCACGAGTGCATCTGTCGGACGTTTGTGGGTGGAGGCATTTTTTATGGTTACTACCTTTCGAGTCAACATGAAAGGAGGAGGCGGTAGTTCCGAACCCATTCAACTTGGATCGAGCCTATGCGCCTCCTCCTCTTCTTTTTTTTACATTCGCCTACTAGTCATCATTGGCGTCGGAAACAACATTAGCAGCATTCCCGCCAACGTTGTGATCACTATGCACCTGACACAATGCCTGAAGCGGTGTGATTACTAAAGAAGCGGACAAGCAGCGGTGGGCGGGTGTGGGCCTGGCGACGGAATCGCAAAGCCCGACGAGCACATGCTCCACCCGCCGAGATGAAAGGTCAAGATCAAAGAGTCCGACAGAAGAGAAGTGAAGGCTATTTACATGCAGACAAGACATTCGGTCTCCGGTGACTTGACTCGTGTACTGTCGTGGCCTGACAACCGGGATTGGAGCCCAGCCTCATTTGTCGTCTGGTTCGAGGACAGCCGCCACAGGGAGTTTACGCCTCTGACGTTTTTTGAGAGATGAGCCGCTGGACGATGAACCATTTCGTACTCTTAAAGTGGCGGGAATTACTTTCTGAAGTCGAACCAGAAAGAGGGATCGTCTTTAAAATCCGTTCTTGGCTAAGAAAAAAAATTGGTCTTGACCAATCCCCTAATAATTCAGTGAGACTCGACACGATTATTTGGGAAGGACTTGTGAAATGGCTCCGTCAGATTTGGAAATGGAATAGCCGACTTGTGCGATGAAGAACTCGTCTCACCGTCCTGCTACTCTTCCACAGTAACAGAAAAACTAGGCAAATATAACTTTAATTTCGTCATGAGTGTCTTTCCGCTCTGACGATGTCTTTCACGACGGTACGGACGGGAGATTAGCACGGATTTATCAAAAGTCACAGGACAGTGAGCCGAGGTCTTCTTCACACAATCCAACAGCCTTCCCTCCACCCAAAAGCAACCAATTCATGAATTTCGTACAACCAACTTGTTTATGGAAAAGTGATGCCACGACAAAGCACCAGACAACTTTTCGAGATCAAGTTTGTCTTCATATAAGCCCAACTATACACGCAAAGAAAGCTTCTAACGCATTGATTCA